CAAATCATTAGAGATATGCAGTGGAAGAGCGAGCTGTGCATCCATGTGCTATACCTATGTGCAGGAAAGCAAACTCTGTGCATGAAAATAAATATGCACACATACATGTACACACACACACACACAAAATTTTAATAACTTAATTTCCTTTTGTCAACATGAGTTATTCTGCTGTTGATTTAAATACAGGTTTACCCCTGGGAATATCAAAATAAGCAAAATTGCGCACCACAACTGATTAAAATGAAATACAAAATTGATTAGTCATTTGCAAAATGATCAGACTCTCAATCGAAATGTCATGTGCATGATAAACATTATCTGTACATATTTTGTATGGCAAACCTGTCAGCAAAATGATACACCTGATAACCTGTGTATTTATTAAAATTTGATTGCTGATTATCCAGAAATATTTCTTAGGCCACATTACATTCTTTTCTTCCTTTTAAATTATGTAAACCTGTCCAAATTTGTTTACTGAAACTTATGTCATTTACATTTAAATCTCCATTTATTATTATCTATTAAAATTCAAAGGGAATTCACTGTAAAAGAACATTGTTATAATTGTTATCTTTACGTATAATGATACTATTGTACAAATCTCAAATCACAAGTGGTACATTTTTTTTCACCTCTAGCAATTCATATGAAAGCCATTTTCTCTACACAGGGAGTGTACATTTTAAAGCCATTTGTGCACCAACTTTATTATTGTAAATTGTAAGTTGAATAAATACATAGGGACATCATGGTTAACTGACTACAATATCATTTAATCTAGTTCTGATGTGTTTTCATTACCTATTTAGAATTGTTGAAATATGACTCAGATATAATAAAAAAGTTTTTTGTTATAAATCAGACTGACAATTGTTGAAATATGACTTGGTTAAAGAAAAATGTCTCTGTTACAAATGCACCTTTCCAATCATTCTGATTAAAAAAGTATTAAAGTAAGTTCAATTATTTAATCAGGTTTTTGTACAGCAGTGTTAAGTGCATCTCAAGCATAAGGAGGAAAAAATAGGCTTATAACACTTACAGATTAAAACATGATCTGTGGGTGAGGAAACAGAAAATATTTAAGATACAACTGCCGTGAAATATACATTAAGTAACAAAGAGCACATAGTAAAATTTTCGGTCAGATCAACCTGAGTTTTAAATATCAAGTGTAAAAAGATTTCTGTCTGTCACAAAGAAATTGAATGCTGTGTCAACATTAAAACCACCAAAATAAGCATTTCAGATTTGTAACATTTTGTACAACACAGTACATAATTCTACTGTAAGTCTGAACACTTCATGCCTGCTATCAAGAAAACAATGACCAAATACAAGATAGCAGTGTAAGGCTTTCTATTTGCGTCATAACAAAAAGTGCACAAGTAGGAAATATCAAAGCTCATGCATAAAAGGTGAAATGCTACTGTCTACAGTATATCTAATACAAATATAAAGCAATGTCTAAGCACTAAAATGTTACTGTGTTTAAATAACAACAAAGCAAAAATAAAAGGTCACTTAAACCTGAAAGCAAGAAGATTTGTACCCATGCAAAAAGTTTTTTATGGTCTGAAAATTTTACAATAGCCAAAAAAAGTAGACTTCAAGTTGTTCAGGATTCCTCATATCAGCCCAACCTCTGCCAGAAGCACTTTGCATTTCATATACCTCCTTGCTTAGATTATACATGGACCTGTGCATTTTTGTGTACATTGCTTCTGTCCCATGTGTGTGTGTGTGTGTGTGTGTGTGCGTGTGTGCGTGTTTGAGAGAGAGAGAGAGAGAGAGAAAGGAGGGGACTGTTATTTTTTTGGCAATTTTACCAAAAGTAGCTTCAACACTTACCACAGGTGGGTTCTGGCAGTTTCAACCTCTGTGTCACAGCATTTAAATGAAGAGGAGACACCACAAAGGTTTGCTGAGATTGGAGAATTTTTTCTCCTGCAATGAAATATAGTCCACACAAAAATAAATAAACATAGGATAAGACACCTGGTAGACGTACAAATCCTTTTTTCACTAATGGAGAATAATAAAAAAGCAGTATTAAAAGCAAGTGGTCTTCTACCTTACAGTTTGACAGCTACAATACTTTATTTCTTTTTTTTTTAACCAATATGTCTAAATACGTTTAAAATGAAGGATTACAACTTTGAGATTTTTCCTGACTTTGCTGATGTAGCTTTTGTCAAAGTGCAGCACCTTCACCATTTGTTTTTTACAATAATCAAGCTTAATTATATTGTATAGTGCATATATGTGACATCAAATACAACTAGTCTTTAGAATGTTTAACATAAACAGCATACAACTAAGTACATCTTATATCATACTGATATACCTTGTTAACTGATACTAGTCATCAATTTTTTCTTTTAATCTACAAAGTATGACAGATGATTTACCTTTTTCAAAGAGATGCTCTGCTAAAAGTTGTGTTATACCATGAATTTCCTAGAATTAAACAAAAAGTGAAAATCATCTTAAATGTTTTAGTGAGATGGGATCATGCTTGCACGTGTACAAATAAGTTTAAAGCAAAATGATGAATTTCTGCATTTGATAAAAATATTGCTGTTGACACATTACACATCTCCAAAATAACAAATACACCAATTTACTACATCCTTAATCTTTACTCACGTACACTGTATATAACAAGGCAGCAAAGCTGTCAAATGTACAGACAAAAAACAGAAAATAAAGATGCAAAATAGGTCATTTTGTCAATTTTGATGCAATAATAAATAATGCTTATAATAGCACTGTCAGTCAACACTGAATTTTAATCTTGCACAACAGGTAACATGGTCAATAACAGCACAGACCCAGAGATATTNTGTATTTCTATATGGCAGTGTGGATACTGAATGGTTTGCTACAGTCCAGTGGCTGGCCCACTGTGGTGGCTATCATGGGGAACTGGTTTGGAAAGTCTAGGTGAGTGATTTAGATTAACAGGGGCAGATCCAGAGATATTTTCTGACAGTCTTCCAAATTATCTTTGTTGACCCATCCTCCATTTTTGACCATTTTTCGACAGAAAAATTAGATAACTTTCAATGTAAACTTGAAAAATTCTGACCGTCTTCCAGAAGACCCAGAAGACGGCCACCATCCACCCCTGATTAACAGTTGAATCAATTAAGCATGTGCAGTATTTCAATGAATCAAAGATTCATTCCTAGTTCTTGTTCTGAATCATTTCAATTCAATAATATTATATTTTCTTCTTAATGGTATTGATTTCCAGTCGTGGTGTGGTGTTTGGTATCTGGAGTGCCTGTGCATCAGTTGGGAACATAATTGGGACTCTTCTCAGTGCTGCTGTCCTCCCCTTTGGATATGAGGCGAGTTAATTAGAGTATTATAACAGTAATTGAGGAGGGGAAATAATTGATTACAAATTCAACTGAATCTCAGTCTTACTTATTTTTTAAAAAACAATTTTGGTGACCCACATTTTTTATTTTATGTGATATATCTTTTCCTAATGAACCATCTTATCTGATGAATGGAGATGTGATGTGATGTAATGAATTCTCACCCTTACCCATTTGATTTCTAACTCTCCACACCCACTCTTTCAGTATCCATTCCTGGTCACATCTGCTGTTCTATTTGCTGGAGGCGTGGTGGTATTCTTTGGATTGATTCCATCTCCGAGAGAGATAGGGATGCCAGAGGCAGATGAGGAGGAGGAGGAGGATAAAACTGGTGCTGGTGTCACAAGTAAGTACTCAATGTAGATGTTTGGCATGTTCACATACAATGTACTGAATTAAGTCAGACATAAAATTAACTAATAAACTCTCACTTGGGGTCACTAGGCAACTGACATAAAAAGCAAAGATGACCAAGTTAATCACTATGGTTATTCATTTAAGTTAGATATTAAGCGAGTTTTCAGATAAACCATCATACTAGCTGGATCGCTCCAACTCTGCAGGAGATCCTCACTAAGTGCAATCACTGTGATCGGCTTCAATGTCTGGCAAGCCTCCTTGAGTACCAGGAAGTAATTAACTAAAAGTTTTACCATCTTTCAGCCCCACTTTTGGTGGATGAAGTGAATGGAGATGGACCTAATACAGAAGACCACAAGGAGAGGGCTGAGGCTATTGGGGTCCTTCAGGCCATTCTGCTGCCAGGGGTCATTCCGGTAAGATATGATGACTGCTCATGGTTTCAATCACAGTTGTAACCTAGGCATTTTGTTATATTTCAAGATTTATATAGAAAAAAAAAGAAAAGAAATTGAATGTTCTGAATTGAAAAGAACTCCCTCTTCATATTTTTTATTAGAATTTTAGGAATTTTCATAGTTTTTTAATTAGAATTTTAGGAATTGTAGGTAAAAAGAAAGAATGATGATTGGTTCTGTCACAGCAATCAAGTGAACAGAATGAGTGTAAATTTTTGTATGCCATAGTTGATTTATTCATTAGAATAATTTATACAGTTCACATGTAGCTTGATAGGACCTCAGAACTAAATAACTTTGAAATATTCCTTCTTTTTAATAGTATTCCCTATCTTATGCTTGCCTGAAGTTGGTGAACTACTCTTTCTTCTTCTGGCTGCCATTTTACCTGGCAGTCCATTTCAATTGGCCGGATACCACAGCAGATGACCTGTCAATCTGGTATGATGTGGGCGGGATTATAGCAGGAATTGTGGGAGGATTGATTTCAGTAAGTATTTTTCATAAAAAAATAGTGCGTCATATATTTTTAATTAAAAAAGTTTTATGAATGAAAAACATTATGATGATATTTAGCATTATATTTGGAAGAGATTTAAAGAAACAACAAATAATTTGTATACCTTGATGTTCAAAAGGCAAGAGATGGCAGTGTGTTTGGTTTTTGCCATGGTTAATGAATTTTTTTTATTTCAGGATATTATGAGAAAGAGATCACCAGTAGTTGTTTTTATGTTAATACTAGCACTGCCATCTTTGTTCATTTATAGTAGTAAGTATTTGTCAGTGCCTCTCCTTTTTTGGGTCATACCTAAATTATTTCATTACAATTTTCCAAGCTGTAAAATTGTTTCTGAAACTGTTACAGCAAGATTCTACTTTAAGATTAAAAAAAAAACATTCCTTAATATAACAGGACTTTTATAAAGTATATTGTGGCTGTTGTAATTCAATTTGATATCTTTTTTTTAGAATCACCAAAAGATCTATATTGGAATGGTTTCTTAATGGGCGTGACTGGTTTCTTCATAGGAGGACCTGCTAATTTAATAAGCTCGGCCATATCAGCCGATTTAGGTAATTAATACATGATTTGCTGATTGTTCACAATTAATGATTCTGTTTGCCCAGCTCTGCTTACAATGTAGATACTCTAGTTTGAAAGATTTTTATGTAAATTGACCATAATTGACCATAANGTTCTTTTGTCCAGGTCGTCAGGGCCCAGTGCAAGGCAACAAGGAGGCCCTAGCAACAGTGGCTGGGATTATAGATGGCACTGGTAGTGTTGGGGCTGCCATTGGACAGGTTTGTCATATAAGGATGAAACCCTGTTATCATATTACATTTGTTATTGAATTATAAAATACACATAGTAAGTCTTAAACCTTTATTGAGCAAAAAAGGAATTTTGTCTGAAAAATTTCATACACTTTTACCTTAATCACCATGACATAAGGTATACTGTTTCCAAAACCACTGACATAACTAGAAGAGCAGGGGCGGATTTAGGTCGTCTTCTGGGTCTTCTGGAAGACGGTCAGATTTTCATGTTTACATTGATGGGTATCTAATTTTTTCTGTTGGAAGACGGTCAAAAATGGAAGATGGATCAATAAAGATAATATGGAAGACTGTCAGAAAATATCTCTGGATCCGCCCCTGAAGAGCACTCAGAGAACATAGACCTCTGCCTAGACAAATAATCAATTAATTATGTACCAAGAGTTAATTAATGGACCATCATCAAAATCTTATCACTGTTTAGGTAGCTCATTTTTGACCCATCCTGAAACTTTCATTTAATTCTGCCGTGATAATTTTTTTGCTAACAGACAGACAAACTAATGATATAAAAAAACATAACCTCCTTACGGGAGGTAGTTATGATCTATACACCTGTTCGGGAGTTCTGCAATAAATTTTAATTTATAAGTCACGCAAGTTATGGAGATAAACACCTGTGATAATGAAATTGAAATTTTAGTGCCTGGAAGTTCATGATTTGAATTTAGTGCTTAATTTATAATCAGTGATTCTCTTCTTTTTCAGATTTTGGTTCCTGTAATTCAAGTTCACACCAGCTGGCAGTGGGTGTTTTATTTCTTTATTGTCATGGTAAGTTGATGGGTGGTAAGTTAAAGGGTAAAATATGAATTTTGTGAAAATAGTGTAATTTTGCTTGGTTCAAGATCATTTGCCAATAAAATGATCTGTAATGTGTCTAAAATGGCTAATTTTAGTATTTGTTTATATTTCAAACTACTTTACCTCTTTGATGATTTTGAATGCAAATTTGATTTGATTTCTGCAATAAATGGATGCAGCTGTGGGACTATTTTTAATCTGTTTTTTTATTTCATATTCCATCTCCAGACTGCTTTGACAGTTGTCTGCATTTTACCACTATTGAAGAATGAGATTATGACCATGAGATGTTGTCAGCAACGTAGACGTGCATTAGTAGTTAATGTTAATCCAGATTAATATAATATTTACATGAAGACCAAATTCACATAAGCACACTGAAAAAATATCCCATTTCATAAGTGATATCGGAAAATGAAGATCTGAAATTTCAGAAAAGTATTTTTCAGACATGCAAATTTTTTTAGGTTTTTGACGTAGTTTAATTTAAGCATTTTATTTAAATTCCAATGTTATTAATGTTTCAAATACATTTCAACCCACTGGATTGCAGTCTTATCAATTAATTATTTTAAAGAAATTAGAAGTTGATGAATTTTAAAAAGTTGAACATTGCAAAAAGTAAAGGCGGTTTTATGTCTCATTGACTTAATGTAATACAGACTTTGAGTTATAGATCGGTTTTAACAGTATTTTTATTTATACATTTTAAATAAGAAAATTAGCTCTTTTTAATCTCAGACAGTTCTAAGCAGTTAAAGTATTTACTATGCTGACACCTACCGCCATCTTGCAATTAGAAACCTCTATTGTTTTCTTCATTTTAAAATTTTCTTGTTTAGTCAATCACAATACTGCCGATTAAAATTGCTTTCAAAATTGCTTACTAAATGTGTTCAGAAGGAACGTAGGTTTTCTGCATATTAGATTTCTCTTTTTTCACTTATCAATGTATCAGATTTTGCATTGAAAGCTTCTAGTCATCTACATGCACATAACTTTTTACTTCTACGTAATTATTTATTTATATATGTGTTCTTAAATTGATTGAATGGTATGTATATACATGTGTATCAATTAGGAAATGTTTTTAAATGCAGTGTATTGTATTTCGATGGGAAATGGTAATATTTCATGACTGAATAAAAGGTGAAAATAGATCAGTTTTATAATGTTTATTGCACAATCTTAAACAATCAAATGATCTCAGTAAGTAAAAAGAAAGTGGAGCCGAGGAGCTGTGACGTTTAACCCATGGGAACTCTAAAGATCAGTGAGTCTATTGGATTGAGCAACAATTTAAAACAATATGAAGACAACCATATAGTCTTAGAATGCCTGATTTGACATATGAAGAAATTCAAATGGAATCTTGTATAATTTGCTTTAAATGAGATGAACCCTTGTTCACAAACAAGTCTATGCTTACAGTCGTATATCAATGAATTCCTAAAATATTGTATTTTTAAATAAAAGTCGGTTTTGCTAGATTTGGCCCAGGTTTTGTATATTTTTCAAACTGAAAATAAATAAAGCAAAATAATAAGAAATAATGCCCATGACCATCAAGAGGCCTTAGTTCAATATTTCTTACATTTTGTGTTCAAAATTTCTGCATAGTTTCTTTACTTAATCTGAAGAGAAAAAATGAGTACTAATAATTAACTTCAAAATGTTGCTTTAATTTTAATTTACTTTGGTGTCAAAGTAAATCCTTATATTAATTGTTGAACTTTATTAAGAATAATTTAACAGAACCCATAATGAGATACAAAAGTTGCTCCCCTCCCCTTCAGCTCTGGGAATGTCTCAAAAAAGAAAAAAAAAATAACTTGCACCAGACTGGTTAAGACATTTAAAGTCATTGCAAAGCAAACACAAACAAAACAGTAAATTGTTTGCAGTATTATGAAATTACCTTGAGCTGTGTTTACTTCTTTTAACAATAAAATGACAGCATAGTGTAATGTCATTTAACCTCAGAAGAACATGACACATTAACATTACTACTTGTTAAATAGTAATAAAACATTTGGAAATACAGCTCAAACGAAATAAATGAAATACCCTATTCTAAGTGAACCAATAATGTTATTACTAAAAGGTGGATATGGCCATAAATATTTAATTATGTTCTTATAAATATGATAATTACTAAAAAATTCTGTCATATTCCAGTATCTAATTTTTCATAGAGTCTTAGGTGTAAGTCACCCACAATATAATACTTTTTGGCATGAGCCCAAAAAACTTGTTTCTATTTCAATAATATCCGTTTTCAGATATTCCACATAAAAACCTTGTTTTGTGAAGTGGGGTACAAAGGTTTGTTTAAACTTTATGAGTATCTACATTTCTGTGCTATGTCCCCATTAGTTTCTGTGTCAGGACCTCATCACTTCACAGAAACAGGAATCATCATCTATCAGTGGTCCACAGAGCCTCACACATCACAACTGGAAAGTCTTTATTAATCCTTGGATGGGGCAAATCCACATAACCCTAAAATACACAGAAATATATATATTGCTTATATCAAAGATTAATATATTTTTTTTACATTTACGACTATCACACAATTCTCATCTTATTTTATCTGATATTTGGTAATGAAATGTTGTCTCTCCTTACTTCAACGAGTCAAAATGCCACCTTCCTTACAAAAATCAGACGATAAGAAGGGTAAAATTACCTGAGGTGTCAAATTCTTTACTCTCTTTTGCATAACCATTTTCTTGTCATTTTTCTCCACTCTGACTTCTTCATAAAATTCATGAGCTAGATCACCGTCTTCATCAAAGAATTGAGACCTATTTTTTCAAAATAAAAGCTTACATAAAACTTTTGTATTGAATGTAAATCCAACAGTCAAGCAACTCCCCATAATCTTTGTTTAACGTGGTGCAGTAACTTTAATTAAATAAGAATCATGCCTTTATCAATAACTAAATAAAGTTTTGAAAACAAACAACCAAAATTATTTTGTAATTATTTCAGAAGTCACAATATTTTTACCAATAGTGCTGAATTAAAGTGTGAAAACAAACAATCACAACAATGTCAAATTGCATAGTAATTGTACTTGAGACAAATGAAAACATCATATATTGTCACTGGTATATATGAGATTGCACTTCCTCACCCTCTTCTTTTGAAGACAAATGGAGTTGGTCCCGATTTGCAAGGGACAAGATCCTGCCCTGTTCCCTCAACGGCAGGAGTTCCAAAGAGGTACCTAATTGGAGATAGTAAGTATCCTACTAGTCTAGAAACCATAGTTCCCATTTCTTCATGTCTATTAACTATGATTTTTGTCAGAAGACTCCGAAGATTTGATAAGATATAAAAATCGTCGAAAAATCATCCTTCAGCCATTCGACCTTTACTTTGACTGGTTCCTAGAAACATCTTTAAAAATCGGTGCAAATTATCCTGTTAAATCATGCATATTTTCAATTACCATATAATATTATATTATTTAATGATTAATTAAAGTAATTAATTGCCCAATAAAGCATGATATTTTATTCGTTTTATCCGATCTACATGGATACTATTCTAGGGAACTAAGATTAAAAATCCAAGACAGACTCTTTTTGTTTATTCATTTGGGATTTTTGAGCTATCTCTAAGTTAAAATCTACAAAATACAATTTTATGTGATTAACACTATGGTAACAAAGCAAAATAAAGAGTATTAAGGCAAATTTCTGTCACTAGTGATAAATCGAGCAAGACTGTCTTGGAAGAGTAGCAAAGATGGCATCCGGCGTGGGACGGTCTGCTAGTGTCTTGCGAGCTTTTGTGAGCAATTTTTCTTTGAGGACGCTTTCAAATGTACGTTTTATCTGATAATTATATCTAATGGTTACTATTTATGTTAATTATGAAAACTTAGTTTGCTTGAATAACGTATTGTGGGTAGGTTTATAAGACGCCTGCATTGGCAAAGTGTATGCATCCCTTGGATCAATGATAACTTGAGTTGAATGTTGATTTGGAGTTGGAATCTACATGTACATGTAATAATTTTAAGCACTTTTTAAATTGTAGTGTGCTCATATGAATACTATTCCAGGAACACTTTTTGTCTGGACTGCGTTGTGTATCCTGTCTTCACAAAAGAGGTTATTCGACCCCAGTGAGTAATATTTTCTAAGTAGAAATAGATAAAAAATATTTTAAACTGTATCATGTATGATGAATGAGATAGACTATACTCGTTAATATTTGCACTTTCATTGTCATATCTTTTCAGTTATGTGTACATTTCTTGGATTGTTCATTTATTTACCATTATTCATTTATGCATTCAAATTTATTTTACTAACAGTTCTTTTTTTTTAAAATTAATCAGTCAGTTTATTTTTGTGTTAATTACTTTATTCGTCCACATAGATTCCATTTTAGTTACAGATTCCATTGCATTATGTTAAAGGTGAATTGATATATTTTCATATTTCTACATGTTAATTCTCAGGCCCCCACTGTGAGAGCTCAGTATGGAGGGAGGCATACTGTCACACTGATGGCAGGAGATGGAGTGGGTCCGGAACTCATGGGACATGTTAAGCAAGTTTTCAGGTAATATTATGTAGAGATTTGGGATAAGTAGCGGACTCAACCCGGTCTCAAACCCCCGACACTTGCTGTTCATGCGACTGCTCTACCAACTGAGTGGGCCGACCCACCCAGCTACTATACTTACATCTGAGACCTTTTTACCTTCTAGCTAACACAAGTTCAAATGGAATCTTTAATACATGATATACTCTCAATTAGAACATAGTTCCTAAGGAACTATATTATAGGAAAATATTACATAGTATGAGAGGAGGTTCATCTCAAGTCCTATTTGCATACATGGCATACTGTACTGAATAGGGCATTTTATCTAATCAGTCAGAGGCCTGGAGTTCTTCAGTATATATNTAGGTATATCAGAAAAATTTTCAAACTGATCAGAAAATTAAAATACTTATATCATCTGAAAGGTAATGCAAAAACCGGATGAAATCATTTGGAATTTTTTAAATATTCCTACAAGCAACAAAGATATTGAAGTTTTTTAACTGCAAAAATCCACCAAAAGTGTCCACACTTCTCAGCTCAAAACCTGTGCCCACTGACCAGCAGTGATCACTCAGGCGCAGCAGAGCACCCTGTGTGTCTTTGTGTGCTCAGCCTATTGTCTGGCTCACATAGCCTGTGACTAATCAGGGCAGAGCTATTTCCCTGTGGTAATTTTCACATCATGTAATATTGCGGATTAAATTAACTATACTTCGCAACCTTCAAATTTCATGATTTTTCTACATAATATAGCAAATTTCATAAACTTTGCTGGATATAAATTTCAAAAAGATGATACCAGCACTTACCTGAAATTTTTTAGCATTTTGTAGAGGCAAAACTTAAAACAAGCAGAACCGAAACTTGTCAAAGACTGCAACATGGGAAAATCATGTGACCGGATTTTACTCTTTGATTTACAACTTATTTAGTTAATGGCTTGTATTAGTTTTTTTACGCAGCGCTAAAAAAGAAATTTAAAAAAGGGGTTCCATAGGCGAACTGTCAGCAGGCCGACTTCAGTTTAACACTTCACTGCCCGTGGATAGTTACGACTGTAGCGCCCCTAGCGGATTGTGATCTACCTAGCAAAGTGTATGCATCCCTTGGATCAATGATAACTTGAGTTGAATGTTGATTTGGAGTTGGAATCTACATGTTATAATTTTAAGCACTTTTTAAATTGTAGTGTGCTCATATGAATACTATTCCAGGAACACTTTTTGTCTGGACTGCGTTGTGTATCCTGTCTTCACAAAAGAGGTTATTCGACCCCAGTGAGTAATATTTTCTAAGTAGAAATAGATAAAAAATATTTTAAACTGTATCATGTATGATGAATGAGATAGACTATACTCGTTAATATTTGCACTTTCATTGTCATATCTTTTCAGTTATGTGTACATTTCTTGGATTGTTCATTTATTTACCATTATTCATTTATGCATTCAAATTTATTTTACTAACAGTTCTTTTTTTTTTTAATTAATCAGTCAGTTTGTTTTTGTGTTAATTACTTTATTCGTCCACATAGATTCCATTTTAGTTACAGATTCCATTGCATTATGTTAAAGGTGAATTGATATATTTTCATATTTCTACATGTTAATTCTCAGGCCCCCACTGTGAGAGCTCAGTATGGAGGGAGGCATACTGTCACACTGATGGCAGGAGATGGAGTGGGTCCGGAACTCATGGGACATGTTAAGCAAGTTTTCAGGTAATATTATGTAGAGATTTGGGATAAGTAGCGGACTCAACCCGGTCTCAAACCCCCGACACTTGCTGTTCATGCGACTGCTCTACCAACTGAGTGGGCCGACCCACCCAGCTACTATACTTACATCTGAGACCTTTTTACCTTCTAGCTAACACAAGTTCAAATGGAATCTTTAATACATGATATACTCTCAATTAGAACATAGTTCCTAAGGAACTATATTATAGGAAAATATTACATAGTATGAGAGGAGGTTCATCTCAAGTCCTATTTGCATACATGGCATACTGTACTGAATAGGGCATTTTATCTAATCAGTCAGAGGCCTGGAGTTCTTCAGTATATATAATTTTATATAGACTTGACTATTGTTCAGCCATCCTCATCATTACATATTACTCTGAAAGAAGTGATACTGTTTTAGTATCCCAGTAGTATGGCTATTTGTAACTGGGTCTCTCAAACTCTGAAGATACTGAGTGCAATATTTTTTATTCGAATATTTCTGACAAATTTTTACAGGTATGCAGGTGTCCCTGTGGACTTTGAAGAGATTCGCTTGGACCGAGAGCACAACGATTCAGAAGCCTTCAGACAAGCTTTGCTGGCAGTGAAGAGAAATGGTACAGCCCTGAAGGGGAGCGTAGAGACAGGAATAGATTCTCCAACTGGTTCACTAAATGCACAGTTGAGGTATTGTTATACTAGTGTTGTTAAGCTGTCACACCTTACACACTTACCTCAATTGGTGTAAAGTTTAGGTAAATTAATGTTGGAACAATGTTCAGGTTCATATATTTTTTATCTCCAGGTCTTGACTAAAACACTGAAAAAGATTTTTTTTAAAAATATTTTCCATCACTCTGCTTAAATGTTTGCTGGTCTAATACTGATACAGATAATCCTTATTATGAAGAAAACACAATATAACAATGCACTATATATTTTTTCTCCAGGACAGAGCTGGATCTGTTTGCCAGTGTGATCAAAGTTCAGTCCATCCCAGGTGTACAGACTAGGCATGACAACATTGATGTGGTGATTATCAGAGAAAACACAGAGGGAGAATACTCTAACCTGGAACATGAGGTAATAACGGACTCTGTGTAAAGACTTAATTACCTTACCACATGTCTTTGTGCAGTCATTTAGCCATTTTTACATCATGTCAACAGATATATTGATGTGGTTCTATCTACAGTCATTTACTGTTGCTACCCTGAAGTATTTGGCAAAGTGTAACTGATTGCATGATGATAAGATTGGTTTTCCTTTGCTATTACAATATTATTACAATACATTATTTATGTTTAGAATGTCCCTGGAGTAGTTGAGAGCCTGAAGATCATCACAGCTGCCAAGTCCACCAGAATTGCCAGATATGCCTTTAACTATGCTGTAGAACATGGAAGGAAAAAAGTCACTGCAGTGCACAAGGCCAATATCATGTAAGATGGCTTAAGAGTATTTGTTTTTTGGCATAGGAAACATCAATTTGTGAACATTGAAATATTGGTTCTCTTTATTGATGTTAAAAATAAATCACAACAGTACAGTAGATATTTGAAAATAAATATTAAATTATGTTTTTCAGTTCAAATTGATGTTAGAATGATATAAAAATGATGACAACCTGTCTTTTTCTGAGTTCAATAATATTTTACTTTTAAAAGTAATTTCCCTTCTTTTTTTAGGAAACTTGGGGATGGTCTGTTTTTGGAATGTTGCAGAAAGGTTTCAGAGGAATTTCCACAAATAGAATTTGAGTCCATGATCATTGATAACTGTAGTATGCAGGTATGGGAAATGAAATGTTGTTTTAAAATTGACATTTTTTATCCTAGTCTTTACTTATGTTCATGAAAAAGGTAAACATATTTATAAAGATTAATAACCATTATTATATATTTATGTTGCATGTGCTACAATAGCTATAAAGGCTGAACGCAATTTTTGGGTAATGCAAAAAAAATCATTCTACTATGTTATGTTAGAAATAACTGATTGCTGAAGAAAATTGGGGTTCCAATTTAGGACACATTAGTAGAATGCAGACTCATATGTATATGTGGAGCAAAACACAGAGCTCTTGTTCCTTTGAAGGTATTTGAAGCCAAAACCAAAATGGCCTTCTCAACTTATCAGGTCAGCTCACACTCTAAGCTGAAAGCTTGTGAGGCAGGTAGCTCAGCTGCTATCTCAGAGTGTACACTGGGCCTGACTGTTTTTCTTTCATTATTGTAGATGGTGTCCCGCCCCCAGCAGTTTGATGTGATGGTGCTCCCCAATCTGTATGGTAACATAGTGGGGAATATAGCAGCTGGACTGACAGGGGGACAGGGAGTGGTGCCTGGCATGAATATAGGAGAGAATTACGCCATCTTTGAGTCTGTGAGTAGTACAGAGGCAAAGTGTTTGGCTGCCTTTGAGGTTATGAGTAAGATAGGACATATGTAATCATGCTATCTTTGAGTCTCTATGAAGAAATATGTACTATACTGTACCATTGAAGTTTTAAGAAATAAAAAGGAAACTCTGACGTATTTGAGCCTGTAAGGAGACTAATGTTAAGGAGTCAGATTCAGGTTTGTAAGTGTTGTTTAAGTGTAACACTCTTTTATAAAATCACAGCTAAAATATCTCAGGGTACTTGTAAGGCAGAGTGCTCCATTGCTGGTAAAGATATCACTAGTCTGACTGGCATATTATTGACCAGCATAGTATTGAAATCTTTGGAATAATAACATTAAAAGTCATCATATATTCTAGGGCACTCGTAACTCAGGGCGCTCTATTGCTGGCAAGGACATTGCTAACCCAGCTGCCATGCTGCTGGCCAGTGCAGATCTGTTGGAACACATTGGGTAAGGAGAGAAAGCTGGGCTCTCTCTTGGTTAGAATGTCTTTTAATTGGATGTGTCTTTTAGCTGGATGTTAAAGTCATTATTCCAAAAAAAGCATGCCCCCCCCCTTCTGATAGAAAGAGTAAAAGAGCATGTTTTTATTGCAATAAGTGAGACTAGAGAAGTGGAATTTTCCATAAATGCTTGTAACTTCGATTTGTCTTTACTCAGACTTCCCAGTTAGAATAATGATACAGAGGTTGTATCATGTGAATGTGGTGAATGGCAATATTTTTTGGTGATGTAACTAGTTATACTTTCTTTTGTGTGTTTTCAGTTTAAAGAGCCATTCGGAACTAATAAGAGATGCTGTAATAAAAGTCATTGTTGAGGATAAGGTAAGGGAAAATCAGGACATGATTTATTTCTTAACACTATGTTCATTGTGATGTTTTGATTACAATCAAAAGTATTTATATGAAATAACTAAAAGTACAATTTTTACAACAAGTGTACACTGAAGGAAGACCTTGGCAGTGAAGCCAACACCCTGCAAACTGTTATATTTCTTCCTGAAGTAAAATATCATGAAAATTGAAAGCATATATTTTTCACTCCAGATCCACACCCCAGACCTTGGCGGTCAAGCCACCACAGTACAGGTTGTTCAGGCTGTGATAGGACACGTCAGGGAGAAGACAAAACAATGGTACAGTCATGTTCATTGATATAGGACTTGGTCTGTGTGGTATTCAGCATCTCTAAATGACTACTGTCCTAATCTGTGTGGTATTCAGCATTTCTAAATGACTACAGTCGTAGTCTGCGTGGTTTTCAACTTCTGTGAAGGACTTTGCAGGTGTTGGGGGAGGGGGGGGCAGTTGGCTTCTCATGAGTGAAAGAGTTTGTTGATGGCTCTGCAGAGTAATGCTGGCTCATGTAAGAATTTTCCATAATGTGAATTTTCCATGATGTGAAGGAGTGTCTGTTGGAGGTAGAGGGAGGGGGGGGGGGGGGGTGCAGAAATTATATTTGGCACAACAGCAGGCATATAGGTATGCGTAAAATAAAATGATATGATATTGTTCATGGGGGAAAGTGCAACATAAAGTGGTCTTAATACACTTTTAGTTTAAAATACCATAGAAATGTATATCACTGTTATAGAAATGGTAAGTGAAAGTATTGAAAACACTGGCCGGGGGCTTACACCACATATCCCTTTATCGGTCTAGGCCTCATGTTCATATTACAGTGGGTTCAAAAACATGGGGAATGTTACAGTCTGATAACATGACCAATTATAAATATGAAAAAATAAATCCTGATTATTTGTGTTCTATGTTGCAAAAATTTCATTAATTTCTTAATGAGTCCAGAAGCCCTTATAATGCTTTCAGCTCTTAAAAAAAATTAATGTGACAGTCATTCTCATCCCAAAAGCTTGTAAACTCTGTCTAGTGCCCAACAATTACAGAATGCTGCTTACATTTGCATTTCCTATTCCTTGAAACTATATTATGTAAGTGTCGCAAATATCTGTAAGTTTTATTAAATATTTATAGATCGGAAGTAAAAAAATAGACGTGATTAACCTTTGAATACAGAAACTATCTCAAAACTAAATTGTCCAATGCTTTATTTAAGAAAGGAAATTTGCCTTTATACTACATTCCAGCATTCATTGGTGGGCATGTTTGAACAGCTGCTTCACATTTCACATCAAATCTTCCATGCTCTCAACAACTGTCACAAGTGAAAAGAATGTAAATCTTTTCTTTTGTCACTTGTCAGCTGGGGTGATGAATCAGACTGACTTTTGAACCTCCCTAGGCATAGATTTATTTTGATCCCCCTCCCTTTTTTTTCTGCCAAATCAAATTTTATACCACATCAATGACAAAACTGTTGAAAATAATGTCATAATGCCTTCACATTTGCTTAAGGTGGAATGTTTTTGTTTCTCAGTATTTAAAGAAAAAATTAAGGTTTTTGTCCTAACCCACCTTGTTTCAGAGTCTTTTTCCTAGGAAAAAACATATTAACAGTCTATATATATTTTTTCTTCCCATCACATTTGATCATCTCACATTTCATCCCGATCAGAAGATAGATATAGAAAACAAAAAATGTAGTCAAAGTCTGTTCATTAAAGGCTTGATTTAGAATAGCATTTCCCCTTGCAATATCTCAAAAAAGAATTATTCCACTGAACTCTTCTGCAGGTGTTTTAAGTGTGTGGCTTGATTTTACATACTTTATTGACTGACAGTGGTTGTTTCTGGCAACCTTTGAAGTTTGACACCACAAATATTCAGTGGTATAACTACTCAATAAAAAATAACTGTTTTGAATTCAAAATGTGCATCAGGAAATTCTTTCGTTTGGTCAAATACTATCATATGTGCATTGTTTTCAACAAAACTTGAAAAAAATAATCACAAAAAAGTAGTGAAAGCCAAAATGTATAGCAGACTTGTGAAGATTCTTTTGTCTATAGCTATTTATATTAGTTTTATCTTACCATCCAATATTTCATCTGCTTGCAGTCAGATTTCATCAGGGATATTATTGGATGGTAAGATAAAACTAATATAAATAGCTATAGACAAAAGAATCTTCACAAGTCTATTATAATAACATAGCTAATGAAACTGTTCTACAAAATGTATAGCAGAATTCAAATGGTTCACTTGCTTTGATGTCAGAGGTTAGTGGGGGCTTCATGAGTAAATAGACGGAGTCTGGTTCATATTATGTATGATCAAGAGATGCAGTCAGACCAGAAATATTTTAGATCGATAAGGATGCTAAGCTTCACATCAGATGGTCAGTTCTCAGACCACCAGGGGGAGAGGGTAACGATGACAGAATTAGTTGAAAACTTCATGCCTTTGGTCTGTTATTATTATCATCAAAGCATCATGCAGGAATAGAATTTCTTTAAATTGTTTGGAGACATTGGGTAATTACCCTATTTCTATCACATGGCATGAGTGTAGGCAAAACTAAATGAAACTGATATTGTTTTGACATTGTTGGTGTAAAAAAGTATGTGAATGTTCTCACTAGTATCATTCTTCAGTTCTCTTGGGGTCACTTGTATGTGAATTACTTTGCTCCTTAAGTACCATTAATGTTTGCAAACAAAGCCTGATCATCTTAACATCTGTTTTAAGATTTACGGTAATGCCATTATGACATATAGATTTGTTAAAGAAATCGTGTATTTTAAAGTTGTATCTTTTTGAAGACAGATTGTTGATTTATTCGATTGATTGTATGAAGTGCTTGTTGTGAGAATTTTGTTACAACACTTTTTTGTCTTTAATTTGTTGAGTGTTCAACTGTATAAAAACTGATCCTGTTTTATTTTGTTTTGATTCACTGTTTGATCCAATCTAGCCATTTTCAGTGGTAATTCATGTAAGATTGTTTCTGCAGAATTAAAAAGATTTGGTTTGTGATTTTTTTATCTGTGTTTCAAAAAGTGTGCAGCAATATTGTATTGGCATTGATGTTGTTGTAAATTTAGTTTCTTTGGTTCTTACACAAAATATTTTACTAGGTCTCTTCCTAGTTTATGCATATTTTTGTTTTATTATTGACATTTTTTTCTCACAAACACCTAATAACATATATATGCCTTCACATTTTCATGTTAGAATTTTTTGCCACACTTTTGTTCATATCATTGGCCAGTTTGAGATTGCCTTTTATAAAAATGTTACACTAGATTTAGAAATTTTAAGTAGCAGCTTACATGACTGGATTTCTCATATGACAATAAATTCTACCAGAATAAAAAGAAATTGGATAAATTTGAAAAGTTAACTTGATAAATACATCCAAAGTGGTCAAGTGTAGCATGTTTTGCTTGCAAATATGCACCTGTCATATGAACTTGCACATTTGCACATCTACATATGCACCCACTGTATGCAACAACCACTTTGCACTCAGCTAAGTGTGCGTACACATGTGCATATTTTTGTGCATCTGATAGTATATGTACTAACCTGATGTTAATTCCAAAAGTGATACTACTCAGTGGGTCTTCCCCAAAAGTTTAATTTTTCTTAAAGGATTATACTACAATTCAAAATATATGATTTGCATTTCATTTTTTTCGATTATGGAGTACAGACAGCCAGGATGGGTATCTGGATAGCCCTTGGGATCATTGGAGGGGTGGGGGTGAAGTACACATCCATTAACATGTGTTTTAAAAGTTGGTCATAAACCCAGCTTTTACACCTGATATTCGAACCCTTATCATATTCAAATCACAAAATGCATCCCCTTTAATGCATGTGTCATAGATTTTTATGTATTTGGCACTTTTTGCACTCACCTGGGGGGGGGGGGGGGGATGGACTGATTTAATGGGACCTGACCCACTCTTGTAGTATACTTTTCCTTTCCTGTTCAGTTTTACTAACAGTCTTTTTTTGTTTCCTCTTCCTTTTTATCAGATTTTAACACTGAGCACTTCCTGTTGAGCATTCCCTGTTTTGTGTACTGCGCCTCATCTCATACATTTCTTCTTGTTTCCTGCTCCTTCAAGGATCGGCCCAGATTTCGAGGTGGAGGGAGTGTAGACGGCTTGGTAACATAGTTATATATGTAGTGGTAACATGGTATAGCTGGCACATGGTAACATGGTAACACAAACATGTACAGCACTCACTTGGTAACGGCCAAAAGAAATGGTAACACATAACATGACAGCTAATACACTGTAATTACTCTCAAAATTAAATCAGAATTGATGAATTTCATTTTCAGAAAAAAACTTTTCTAGATAATACCAGAAAAGGTTTGTTCAAATGTTTTCAAAACGGAGCATGTTTTAGCAAGAAACCAAAAGTAAAATCTTGAAAATAAATGAAGACAAATCAATTGAGGTGTTTGAACTGGGATTCCAGGTTTGAATTTTGTGAATAATTACCTTGACATTTAACAACACAACATTGACATTTGCAATAACATAGATTGTGGTAGCTACTACACTTCTAAGATTTACAGTAAAATAGTATATACGTATACAAATATAATAGTAAACAGTGCAACACTACATGTATGTGATGCATGCAATATCATTAACAGCTTTTAGCAGTATAATGGTAACATAGTTTAATATTTAACTAACTCAGACATGTATACCATTTCACCAATTAATGCTATTTCATGCTATTATTGAACCTTTCTAATACCATATCTAAAGGTGCACTGACAATGAAGATAGGTAGGTCCTAGTTAAGTGGGCTCTCACCATAGGCAGCAAGTGAGTCCTTTTTTCCCCAAATTAAGTCATGTTATGCCCAGCAGAGGACATGGTGGTCAACGAAAAATGGAGGGAATCCACTTTCTGCCTATGATGAACTTATTTGAATGAAACGGCTCGATGGAGAAGGGTTATACAAAGAAAGGTCTATCTATCTTCAGTGTTAATGATGCCTCACATGCTTTTGAGTCTTAATAAGCAAATAGTGTCACACATTTGGTGGGGCAGACATAAAAACAAATATTATAAATGAAGTCAGTATTGACTTCGTAATAGACAAAACGGGACTCAACTTTTTGGTAACTGTACTTCTTAACACCATTAGATCCCTTACCATGAATGGATGTGGGCTTTTAACATTACAAAAAGTTATTTGAATTGAATTGAAATACCAGGGAAATTGTTTATTATTTTTAATTTATTTTTATGCAGTCTCATTGTGTGTTGGGTTACATTGTATATACCGGAGCACAATTTGTAGCTCTGGTGGTGCATTGAGCGTCTTTGATCAGCATTGTTATTAATTAAGTTTAAAGATGTGGTATTAAACATGGATATCTTTCTTTGAAAGTTCATGTGTTTGTAGTACTTACATTGTATAGAAGTTAAGTGTGCACATTTTGTACATATTTGAAATTAATAAAGTTGCACACAGTTTCATGTTTTTCTGCAGGTGTATAGAGCAATGTGGGTTTGGTCCAAAGAATAAAGTTTACAGTTTTTTTGTAAAATTATACTACAGTCTTATAAAATGATACTTATTAGTTACTTGCACAGAAATATATGGGATGTACTTTTTTATCTGGGTTATCACACTACTGGACTTGTAATATTAGTAGAGCAAAATATCTCAAGCTTAATGACATTGGCCAAAAATCGAACATTTATTTATTATTAATATAATCAGTCTGATGTTGAACTGACAGATTGTAAATATTTATATTATTCAGCATTATTGCTCAGTTAAACATTCTTCATTAAGTTTAATAAATACTGTCTTTTTAAATTCACTCTTTGCTACCTTTATTTCATTGGATGAATGAGCGTGTTTTGTAATTGCTGAATTGTTTGCTGCATTTCTTTAACATGGAAAATGAAAATTCTTTTCATAAAAATACTGTATACCAGCCGTATAAATGTTCAAGAAAGTCAGAGTGGATTCAGTGCAATGTGATGATATAACAAAAATATCTATCAATATTTGTGCACTGTCATCCCATACAAATAAACAAGAAAGACGAGAACTTGCAATAACAGAATAGAATAGCAGTGTGAGAGGAATTGCAGTGGCTGTTATTATACACCAGTGACATGAAAAACTTTGGAATCAATACAGAATAGGAATCTACAAATTCTGAAATATTCTTTGGCACCTGTTATGATTATTACTTTTTTGTGAATGTGAAAGTGAAATGAGACTCATAAAATCATTTTAATGCCATTTATTATAATTACTTTTTATTTGTTTAATTAGTAAGTTATGTAATTTTTTCGTTCTCTTTTAATTATTATTATCTATTTATTTTATTTTATTTATTTATTTATTTTTTTGAAATTTGGTAAAAGTGTTATGACAACTGAATCACGGACCTTATGCCCCACCCCCCCCACCTTCCTGGATAAAGACCGTAGTCTTTTTAATTGGTGTCTAAATATCATATGCCGCCAACACTGGTCTGGTACCGGGATCGATTACTGATAAACCACACAGACATACTTTTTTCATGAAAGAAAATTGAGCACTGAGGGAGAAATCAGCCGAGCACAAAATCAAGCCTTATGACATCTGACAGCCTGTCTTTTGACATGGCCTGGGGATCTCTGTTTTTCTTTTTTTTTTTCTTCTTTTTTGCTTCTCATATTTACTTCATTGCTTCGCATTAGAATGGAGTATGGAAAACGGTGCCGTTGGTCTGCCATTATTACAAAAAAAAAAATAATAAAATAAAAAAAAAAAAATCGAGGGAAATCATATACCATCACAGGCCATAGCAAAAGGTCGAGGATATAAAATATGCCTTTGTTTAATTTGCTGCAATAATAAAATAAGTGCTATGCACAGGAATATGGGATTTTCTTTCTAATAAATTCGGAGGATATTCTCCTTGTTTAAAAGCTGGGGAAATTATGGATAATTTAAAAAAATTATCAAAATATGGACATTCGTGGGAGGGGAAGGTTACCCACTCACCATTCCTCCCTTTTTTATTAGCATTTTGTGATTTCTTTTTGAGTTCACATGAAATCCCCCCTCCCCGCAAAAAAAAAAAAAAAAAAAAAATGCTCTCAGACATTTCTTTCGATGATGATATCATTCTGAAAAAGCACTTTTTTAAAGATTAAAATTGTCAAGAATAATTGCTTGTATTTACGCGCATTCTCCACATATTTCGTCCCATTTTTTAAAACCCTGTAAAAAAAATCTAAGCAATATAAAATTACTTTGGTATTCCCGAATATGGATCGAAATGAGATATTACGGAATGCTTGCGCCTGTTTAGCTCAACAAGTTGCAGTCACCTCGTTGACCTCGCCGACGGTGTCCTCTTTAGTAACTTGCGGCAATTTAACTTGGCGTACATGAAATTTGACCTTTCAAACGCGTGGTCTACACACTAAGCGCGATAATTATGTCTCGTTTGTGTTAAAAAAGATTGTTTGTGTATTTTTTTGAGATGGGGCCTCTGTGAGGTTAAAGGGAAACGGAACTCTATCTTTAAGTGTTCAAGTTTGAGTGGGGTCACGCTGTATTTAGATGCTCTGTGAAAACGGATTCCAGTACTGTCCAAATTTACCCCCCCCCCCCCCCCCCGAATATTCAAGCCGAATTTAAAAAATAAACGCGTTTATAAAATAAATTTTTTAAAGATTATTTATAAGAATTTTCCTTCGGGTCGAACGCAGGTCATACTATATCACCTATGGTGACACCGTAGGTTTTAATCAATTTCCATTGACTTCATATTGGCGTCTTATAAATTAACGTATGGAGACACCGTATACTAATCAAGCACAGAAGTCGCTTTATTTTGATACAAAATATCCTGTCTAATGCTTTATAGCCCATCCGTTATCTATGAAGTTATATATATAATAAGTTGATGGATATGTTTTTTCATAATAAAAGGAATTAATCATCAAAGAGGCTGTTTCGGGATCTTGACAGTTTCACATTTTTAGATGATGAAAAAAATAGTTTGGGTGTTAAAATTGAGATTAAAATGCAAAAGGAGAAACGACAAATCATATTTCTTAACACACACATCAAATGGTGTTTTCAGGTACATTTCCTTATTTATTTATCTATTCACCATACCCCCTTGGTTGTTCCCAAATATTTAGAAGACACCTTGCGCTGTGAAACGAGAAAGACAAACTATAATCCGTTTACTTTGTGGACTAGCTAGAAGATGGGAGGCCTTGGCTCCATGTCTGAATAAACTGCCGTGTATGATCCCGTGGAGATATTGCAGCAAGGTGCATTGTCTTAATACACGGCCTCCAGGCCCGAGCCCCGCCCGTGTTGTTATGGAAACAGTTGCCGTGGCGATGGGTAGCTTTTGAGGAGAGAGAGAGTGAGAGAGAGAGTCGGTACGTGGGACAATAGTTCGGACCAATGAAAATGTTTTTCGTTGTTTCAAGTGTAAAGCTAGCAAAAAAAGTTAATTATGGTCACATCAGTGAGTGAATCGATGAATATAATAGCGCGTTCCCAATGAAACAATCGTTTTACTTAAATCGACCCAACTCCGTGTGGTCTCTTAGCAGCGATTTACTTTTTTGTCAACAGTGCTTTGTTTCCTTTTTTTTTACTTTTTCAATCAAGGAACCATTGAGAGTTAACGGAGGCCCGCCCTGAAATTTTGAGAACTGGCGGTGACACTATTTCTCTGGGTCATTCTGATACGCCATGTTTGTCATGGAAGTAAGTTACTGCTGTACTCTGAAATTCAGGGCGCTTCAGCAATGGTTTCAGCCGACCGCCCCCGCACCAAATGATCCACTCTCCCGCTAACAAATAGGCCTTCTCAAATTAGTCTAGCAAAGTGCTTTAAGGATACATCTTATTTTTAAAGTGTCGCGTTACGTGTAAGCTTCGTGTTCAACAATCTGTCCTTATGTTTTGCTCCTCAGTGTGAACACTTGGCGGTAGGTATTTATATATACATCCCCGCTTTTGCTTATCTTTACCACCGCAGTGTACACGATGGTTGTTTTGTATCCTTTGTGATCATGTTTAAACGTTCTTTTAAATGGCAAAAGTTTGAATTTTTTTTTATGTTAAATAGCCAAAAGTTTTTAAATTGGAGAGAGAGAGAGAGAGAGAGAGAGAGAGAGAGAGATGGGGGTATGCTTAGGCTTTCAGCTGACGACTTCGATGCGATTTTGAATCTTTTCACTGGAAATAAAATAAGTGACAGAAAAATGCACGAATGAACCTTTCTGATGGTAAAGTCATTGTTTGAATATCAGTTTAATGCAGTGACGAGACTATTACAACTCCCCAGTGAACTCAATTGGAGGAGAATAAATGGAGTGCTATACAAAAAATTAAACGATTGAGAAGCCATTTTCTAAAGTTGTGTACAGTGTGTGCTTAGCCAGAAGGCTGAAATTCAAAACATTATAATTGAGAAACGCCCTTCAAAACAAACATGGCATGTGAATTTTGTTTCTTCTCAAATATTCAACAAACAGCCTGCTATGGGCACTTGAGTTTAAAATTCCCTTTCTGCAGCTATCATGTGCATCCTTAAATATTTACACTTCTCTGCGCACGGGGTTGTTGCGTCTCATTTCGATTTTTTTTAATACTTCAAGATTCTTTAGTAATCCTCAAACAAATTAGAGTCAGTAAGTTAAGTGGAAGTATTTTGCCCTTCCACAGTTTTCATGTCAATTTCAAAACAACTTAACTCTCCTCTTCAAAAGGGAAACATATTGTAGTTTTTTTTTTCAAAATAATAGAATGGGACTAACTTATCGGACTGATTTGGATTCTATCGGGCTGTTGTAGTCCCTCCACCCCCAACACATAGATAGATAAACAACTTGCCCAATCACAAAGTAATGCCCCACTGCGTCTTGAAAATCCAAATCACTGGGAACCGTTAATTGGTGTTCTGTCGACACAATTTCGCCCGAAGTGAATTTAGTTTTAAACTGGTCCGAACGAAGCTTGGAAGTGTAGGTATGCGAGCAGTGGTTTCTTGTCTCCTGGTTATCACGTCCATCTGAAAACATTGTGCATTCGGAAGCCTTGGGGAAGTAAACAGTGGACAGCTGCATACACGAAACCATTGTATAGCTGTCTACACTTGAAAAGAACCCGAAGCCGCAGATATCGTGTTCAACAGGTGCGAAGTAGCAAATAGTCGGCTGAATAGTTGAAATGACAGGTTTTGTCCGGTTTTTGCCACCCTCAAAGTGGGAAGGTATCTCGCCACATTTTCAGTATTATTCTGAGTGTCTCTCTATAAAGTCTAGCAAATTGAAAAAAGCTTGTAAGTTTGCCAAATATATAGCTACACTACATGCAGTAACAGTACGCGCAAAGGGGAATAAGAGGGGAAGCCATGTGTATGACTGCGTTTACGCCCTTTTCCAAAACAACATTGCGGATCCCTCCCCTCCCCTCCTACCTTGCTTCTTATAAAACGAGAAAAGGGACACTCTAAGACACCCCGAAGTTTCTTTCATGTACTGAGCCGTTTTTAAAATTATTCGTAGCAGAGATTGTGGGCAAGGCTAGGGAGAAGAGGAGAGAGAGAGACTAAATTTATCGAACCAATGCAAAAACATTACTAGACAGCCACTCTGTAAGATATCGGGTATTTAGTGCACCGATTTTGTTCACAACTGTTGTACAGGAAACAAAGTGAAGTTGAAGATTATATTATATTTGACCGCAGGAAGGAAATCCAAGTACATTTACAATCGAGCAATTGAAGTCATATGCGATCGTTTCTGATTTTTTTCATAGAATCGGAAATGTTTTTATCGGCGGTGGTTTGCTTTCAGGTTGGCATACTCAAAAACGTTCTATCCATAACCCGAATAACTGCTGCGCGGCAACCCATATCCTGCAGTTTAATGGACATGTTTTAGGTGATATTGATGTTTGCTTAAACTTGCAGCAGCTGTTCCCTCAAATATTGAGAAACTAGGATTTTGAAGGCGAATATATGGTCGCATCTAGCACCGTTTGAACAAAAATCGTTTTTAGATAAACTCCAAGACGAATGTGTTCTTCGGGCCACTCGCTCGAGTTGAGCGCTCGGATAACACAAGGTATCCAGTGTGAACAGCATCTTAAAATGCAATCAACCTCAACTTCCTTGAAGTTCGTCTACAACCGTTTTGAGTTAGACCCGTGCTAGATGCCACTTCTTTATTATCCTGTTTACTCTTATACGTTTGTATCAACTCATAAGAACACGCACGAACTTTGACGAATATCCGAAAATAATTATTCAGCCAGAATTTGAGAAAATATGGCGTAAACGATACATAAGATTTTATCAATGAGCATCCGAATCTTGATAACTGAATCCAATATTCTTATTGTCGTTTTTATTTAAGAAGATGTAAGATGAATGCCCCCTCCGGCAACAAGTCCTTGACAGGGTGGCAATGTAGAAGCGATTTAAAGAAGGCAATTTAGCGTTCCAAGAAAATCCAGATCGCACCGAAACAATAGTATCCCTTTAATATAACAAGACAACTGGTTGATTGCATTATAGACTCTCTTTCTCTTCTTTCTCCAGATTGTCTTTTTCCTTGTCATGATGGTGTTGTTTGTAAGATTTTCTTTGATATTTGTCAATTTTTTCGATGATATCCTCTTTGAGTTCTTCAATGACGATGTCTTCGGGTTCGCCGGCATCCAGCAACCAAGGTGCAACACTGAATTCTTCCATTGAGACTTGACCGTCGGCTGGAAAGCAGACAAAAATAAAATTTTATCGTCAAGTTCTACATCCCATATTTAGCAGTGATGCTGTGATCTTTAAATGATTTCCATTTCTTATATGCTCGTACTAAATGTAGTAAAAATATTTGTAGTAAAATCACTCTCTACAATGCCCTTGTCACACGAGCGGAAATATGACTGTATTTTCTCCATAGGTAAATGAACTTTTACGCAGGTATTGGGTCTCTTTCACAGGAAAAGAAGGTGGTTGATATTTTAGACCACCAGATATTACATTTTAGGAAACCTCTATAGATCAAATCGGATTATAGGAGTCTAAAAATGTTCGATTTTCATGTTAAGACCAAGTTTTTTCAGACTCAACTTCTCAACGAAACGAAGCACAGTTGGTAACCCAGTGACGTGCGTGTGCAAAGATTGCTACAGAAAATGTAATAGACAGAACCTAATCAAACCTAAATAGGACGACGCTCGTGTGTATCCTTAAAAACAGCTGCAGCTGTCGCGGCATTTACGCAATATTTCTTTCATATCAGAGAGCTGTTTTTTTTTTTCAAATAGAAAAAAGCACTGTGTATTCAGTGTGGAGTCGTTAATCTTGCAGCGAATGCATTAGATGACGGGAATGTGTACGTGAAATAAATCGACAATGATATGGCAAAAGAAGTGTTGAAGATTATTGAGTTTAGAAGGCGAAAGAAAATTGAAAATACGCAAAAAAGTAATATCAAAAATCTGATTCTAGGTTAAGAGAGGTAAAATATGTTTATTACTCATTCTTAGATTCAAAGGCATAGGGTGCAAAATCAATAAATGAAAATGCGTTTGTGATTTCCTGTTATTGTGATTGAACGATGACGTTCATTAAAGTTTTAAAATATTTGTAAAAAAAAAATAACATTTTGCTCTAAAGTTTAGAATGGAATTTCGGTGGGTACCTATGAGATTATAGAAAACAAAAATGCAAAAATGTTGGCGATTTATTGAAAAATATAGAAAATGCTTTGTGAATCTGTTTTAGCGATTTTCCGAGCCAATTATTCGCTTCCTGTGCGCATGCCTTTCCGATAGACGGATGGAGAGCGAAGCAAGGAGCTGTGAATATTGTTGTGTGCACGCGCAGTGGCATTTCTAGGTGTATACAAAAGATGCAGTGAATATAAATAATAACCATGCAACAGATGGGAATTGCAGTTTAAGTGAAATGTGGAACAGTGACTCACTAGAGACGTGCCAGTTAAAGCTCGTTGGATGAAGTTAAATGTTTTCGATTATCGTCCCTGTTTTGTACTCATTGGATTGAGTTTAATCTCGTTACACTTTAAGTCAATCTATCTGTGAAAATAGCTCTCCAACTGAGATAAACTAGGGAAATGTGTGTTCATGACGGTTGTTTATTATGATTACAGCAAGGATATTTAAACAAGTACTTTCGTTCTTGCATATTCTCTTTCTCTCTTTCTCTATTTATTGCTATCTTCAATTCCTATTGCTTCCCCTTTCTTTCTTTCATTTTTCAAATTTTCTTTTTTGTACCTTTATGTTGCCTCTCTCTCTCTCTCTCTCTCTCTCTCTCTCAACTCCCTCAGTTCCTATTACATGTACCTCCCTTTTCTTTCTTTCATTTTTCAAACTTTCTTTTTTGTACCTTTATGTTGTCTCTCCCTCCCTCCCACCCTCTCTCTCTCTCTGTTTTTTACCTCTCTCTCTCTCTCTCTGTTTAACTAGCACTTAAAAGTACCTGTGTAACAAAAAGATCACACATGACTGAGAAATCGGCGGACTCATTGTTGTAGGTCGCTACTGTGATACGTTAGTTGTGGACACAGTCATGTATACAGGGTGTTCTACACGAACTGAAGTTGACATAGCAAACACTTGATTACCTTTATGTAAGGTTACACCACCACCGGCCTCGTTGTTTGAGGCCCAGGCACAGAAATGGCTTGTTTGACACGTTCACTAGATAAAGAGTTATATAATATACATCGGGAGAGATTCAACATTTTCCCGTTCGTCGTATAGGCACAAGTGATTGTAAGGTCACATATAGCCTTATGTTTTTTGTTTTGCATTGTTGGAGTTATACAGATAAGGGTCTTTTATATACGACTGGTGGCGGTGGAAGGCGACTTCAGACTATCAGAATATATAATGGTTTTGTTAATGTAAATGGCACTTTCCAATTTTTAAATGCAAGTTCGCTGTAAAATCTTTTAATAGATACGTCTTTACCAAATGTCAATCCTCGAAGATTTGCAATGAATAATGAAATCTTTCGGAAAACGGTCTAGGCTCAAACTGTCATACATGTTCTTAGATAAATGTTCAAGACAACTCTCTGTGACTACAGAATATATTTGGAATAGCAAATTATAAACCTTATTAAAAAATCCAAGACCATTTGCATTGTCGTTGGCAATCCATCGTTGATCTTGAACTAAAATGTACCCAAAACGAAAGATATATCAGTATAACCCAGTACCTTGCCAGCACTCTGTAAACCCTCTACCAGGGCGGCAGATATTATAGGCAAATTTTCCAAAAGCCAATTAACAACAAAATCAATCATTCTTGAGATTTCATTACAGGGTGACAGAGAACCAAAAACCGTCTGTTTATCTAAAGACATATCTGTGAATATATAGTGAAAAGTCAATCTGTCGCCTTGGTAGAGGCTAGCACTCTATCAAGTTGTCAATTTTATCGATATCACACCTTGGGTCTTTACGTGCTTGGCCTGATCGTCACCTCTAGGTAGCGTATATTTACACATCCCTTCAGTAGCACTGGTGGTCATGATTATGAATAAATATTGAAAGAGGAGCTGTCCCTTTGATTCCACATCCTGGGTTCATTTATTACAAGCTACAAAACAGCGAGATATAAACCCGCCCCAGGCATCTTTGGAACTGAACCTCATGAGGTCTTCGTCTAAAAAGATGCCAGGAAAAAAAGTTGAGGTCGCTGCGTACGCTTTGTGATGGGAAAGTGACGTGTCGATTAACCCAATGCACAGATGTACGGAAAACATACATTTTCGTGTTTTTAACCTTTTTCCCCTATGTTGGCGGGTGGAGAATAATGCAATAAATTAGGGAGCACACATATACATCTATATGGGGAGACCAACTTAGGTTGATGCAAACCTTTTCTCTTTCCTTTGTTTAGATTTGCCTAGATCTAAATTTTTAAGGAACGATCTCGTACCGACTAATGCTAGAAAACTTCAATAAAAGCGAGCACCTGTTAATATTGGCAAAACCAGGGGATTCAATAGTGAGCAATCTGCATGATTACTTGTGTGCTTTACCGATTTAGATGTGATTAAGATAACCTACAACTAGGCGATCACGGTGGATGAAGTGATTCATAGGAAACTATTTCCCCATCACTCTGCACATCAAACAAGCTCGGATAGCAAAGTCAGCAAACTTTTCGTGCAATGTAGGTGTCGATGAAACTGCATGATTTATAGTTATTTTATCACGGCCTGCCCTTTTACACACAACAATCTTCGCGTTTGAACTAATTCACTTTATTTATGGGACTTGAATCTTGATCTCAGCTGGACGATGTTTTTTGCGAAAGTTGAAGCTTGGGGCACAACTTGGTAAAATGAAGCCACTTTTACAGAGTGTGTCAATTATAGACCTTGATAGAAATGGACGGGGCACGTGCTTGTAATTTAGCATTTGAGCCGTGACATGTGAAAGAACGTTTTCGATTTAACTTTCTTGTTACTGGCTTTGAACTTACGAAACACGACATGGCCGCTACAACCCTTGGAATAACAGTTTTAGCTTTTAGGTTTGCCGGTCTGCTGAGAAAAGTTGATAAACAAAGACGTATTTGTTACTTTAACCTTGTTTTACCTTTTATACAGCAAAAGCCGATAGCTCATTTCGTTTGCAATCCTCTACATCTTTTCCTTTACCCCTTTCTTCCTTCCCCTCATCCCACTAACGTGCGCTTCTTCTCTTTCCTGCACTGACCCTCTACCTCTTACACTTCATTCCATTATATTTTTTCTTTAAAAACACCTAAATTCCTTCTTTCTGATACGGATCAGATATGTAAACTAGAACAATATAGCTATTCATACCAAAATATCACCAGTGGATCCAGCATATTAAGAAAACGGGCATGGGTTTATATCCCACCCCCACCACGCACCAACCCAATAACGATTATGATGATAATGCTCAAATATATCAAATGTATTTGTATGGAAATTAGCGTGTCTTTAGCTGTTTGTTGAAAAGTGTGGAAAGGGGGCTGGAAATTATACCTATAATCAAGAACCCGTATCTCTACGAAATCATACCCACCGTCTGTATCCGTGACGTTAAACGCCTCTTCAACGTTCTCTTCCGCCCCCGTGGCGTTGATCAGCTCCGCCAGGCTTATGAATCCGTCACGGTCCGAGTCATAGACGTTGAAATCCGTGGAGAGCTGCACGGGCTTAAAAGTGTCATCATCCTCCCCCGGGGGTAGCTCCCCGTCCAGTGGCAGGGGACCCTGTACTTTAGGAAGAACGTTGATATTGTCCGCGATTTCGTCGCGCGGTAACTCCACTTTGACTCCATGCTCATCTACCTCGACTTTGTCAGAGTTTTTCAAAACTTCATTCTCGTCGTTTCTGGAAGTTAGCTTTTCTAATTTTTTCCCCACGTTCACTTCGTCACGAGCGTCTGCGTTGTCTGTCTCGCGTCTGAGAAAAGGTTTTTGATCTACTTTCCCATCTAGCATTAGCTGGTCTTCGTCCAAATCTTGCGAAATGTCATTTCGATCCGCCTCTTGTCCTCGGGAGACAACAATCGCCGATAGACACATCCAAAGTATAAATGACCTCATTTTATATCCCAGCAAACGCCAGTTCGAACGAATTTTGTAACACCCAACTTCGAAGAGGCTTCTTTTAATGCTCTAACCTTTTGCGTGTCTAGTACCTAGCACACCGCTGACTGTATTTGCTTGCAGCCTATTAAACCCCGGAGCGTCGTTAATCCATTTCAAACTTTTCAAGTCTCGAGACGCACGCGTTCATTTCATTTAATCACGAGACGCAAAGTCCACAGAAGTATTTCCGAAGGACCGTGCTTTCTTGTTTTAACCGTCTAGGTCTTGGTTTTAGGCCCCTAGTTTCCCCTTCTCCAAGGCAGCCACCACAAGACGTCTTTAGCCCGTGCCACTGCAAATTATCTGTGAATCTAAACTTTTCCTCCCCGGTAAGGAGTTGGAAGTTTGACCTTTGACCCTATAATGCAAAACGCCTCGTAACTGCAGGATCAAAACAGATGAAATAAATGATATTGAGGTATTGAGTTTGAATATATTTGACACATAAAAAGTGGTGTGAGCTGATAATTTAAAATAAATGTTAACTTGATGTTGAATCGAGTCAGTGGTGAAATATCGCACACAGTTATCGAACCCATTATCAATATCTCCAGCGTATTTTTGATAGATTGGCTTCACCATTCCTGTACATAGAACAATTTTGGGACTCTAGCTGTACGCTCTTGAGAGAGATCAAAACTGTATCTTAGAGCAAAATATAGTGTGACTGAATCATTTTTTAAAAAATTCCGTCCTTATCTTGTCTTTTTTCTGTGTTTATTGTGTCTTATTTATTTATATAATTATATATCTTAATTTATCTTTTGCTTTAATATCAAAACACAAAACTTAGGCTGTGTAATCCGAAGTTGTGTCGGCAAATATTTAGCTTGGCGTCGTGGTCGAACCCGGTAATAGAGAAGTCAATAAAATTTTACGTTTGCTGCTAAGATGTCACATTGTAAAAAGGCAGCGTATTTGATGACATTTAAGATGTCGCGTTTTAAAAGGCGAGCATACCTGAGATCGCGTTGCATTTCCTGGACGTGTAGACACAATTGCCTAATGTGCTTATTTACCTGTTGTAGGCATTTGAAGCCTTGTCGAGTTACACCTTTTAAGTCGCATTCACAGGTGCTTTTAAACTAAACCCGTTTCCCGTTTCAGGTAGACCTATACTGCGCGTCACCGAACGTATAAATCATTTCACCAGCCAGTGATGGCCAGGACTTCGTATTGGCGTTTGTGGGAAACCCGACTTTTCTTCACACATATAAACAGTGATGGCATAGCTGTCCGATGGCGTATTTAAGTTGGAATCAGTACTTGGGGCCAATAACCGTTTCTCAAGCTGATCTAGTGCAGAGAGAATGCTCCGAAGGCTGTCTATTCTGATATAGCCATTTTGCACTGTTAGAAGAATATTTACAAATTCCTACTTATGCTTAGTGTTATCAGGGATGTTGAACCACGCGGTTGTGTGCCATATATTAACCACCATAAAAATACATTCTTTCATATCTGGGACTTACATATAGTTCGTATGTATCCTTCCATCTTTCATTTCCTCTCTTTCTCTTGGGTACTTATCAGAATTTGCTATGGTTTGAACCAAAAATGATTGAATTTATGGTTGGTGCTTTATGTATTCTATCCAATTTAATCCTCATCTCTCTCCCTAACTCTCTCTCACGCACGCGCGCGTTCGCACACACACTCATAACCACTGTTTATGACTTAACACATCCTTATCAAGGCCATTATCTATGGCAGGCAGCATCCAATATGAATATATTTTAGCTAAATATAGCTGACGTATAAGTAATGATTATCACACAGCGAAACTTTAAAGAGAACCAGGTATTAAATTGATGTTCTCTAACTTTTTCCACCGGAAATCTCGCAGCCATTTCAACAACAAGCACATTTACTTTGCTGTGATTTATACGCATTCATATGTCGAAGGAGAGTTAGGGGAAAATACCAACATACAAAAGAACATATCGCAAGCGTTCTGCTTCAGCGAGTGCTGTCAGAAGAAGTCTTTAAGTCGTATTTCAGACGCTCCAAGCCCGAAAATTGCAGCCACAGCGGGGTCCTTACCCCCAGGTATCGTCTCTGCCTCACAAAATCTGTGATCCAGAACATTATGATGGCTATAGGGAAGCGACAAGGTGTGATCACATTTGACGCTGGCGGATCGAATCAGTTTTGGTCTCTGTGGCTTGAGTTTAATTGTGATAAACCAGGCGCCTGCACGGCAAAGCTCCAGATTATTATTATTATTATTATTATTATTATTATTATTATTATTATTATTATTATTATTAAAGGGAGTTAAAGCTAGACTTTTGGATAAGAAATGCAAACAGTATTTAGTTCCTTTTTTCTAAGTACAGGTGTATTTTGTGTTGATTCATTTCTGGAGACCTTTGTCAGGGTCTTAAAGTAGAAAAAAAGAATTAAGTGAACTATAGGCCTAATATACCCTGAGTGTCAGAGCAACGTAAAAGCTAGCTTGTTAAATATATACCTTGTGATGGAGTCGCTTTTACTTTTACCGGTATTGTTGATATGGGTTATATATGAAATCAAGATCGAGCTGGCAATACCGAAATCTAGAACCTAGGGTAGCCTAATAGTATTTCAGAGAACAATCATCTCAATATATATTTGTTGTAAGGATTAAGAACAGAACAATACCCCAGTGAAATAATTAGAGGTAATTACTGTTTCATACAACACGGTATGTTACAATGCAACTCATATTTTTCTTGGACAGATTGAAGTTTACATCAGCCATTGCGATATCGGAGATACTTTATTCATTGCAGTAGATGTGACAAATTGGCCATTGTGTTGGATGGGACCATTGCCGTCTGCATAACAATTCTAATTCACAGAATGCAATTACAAAGACCAATTTCAGTCGGTGTTGGCAATCTTAAGGCTTCAGCCATACTTCATCCACTTTATATCAAGATAAACACACTCTTTTTACTGCCATACTAGCACAATATACTAACATCCCCTAACTTTACTTTGGAGTTACCATCTATTGACATAAGCTCATATTTGACCTAGGTTGTGTCCAACTGTCCTTCATTAGTGTATGGAAGAAAGAAGTCAAAATATTAACATACACACAGCTTTAAAAGCATACAACATTATTAAAACCCACATTGTGTAGGGTGTTACAAGCAATTTGAGCAATAGTGTATTTCGATATCACAACCGATTATCCAAACAAAAGAAGAAATAAGAATAATATATTGTTTTCTTTATGATGTTTATTGAATATATGCTGCACTCAAATACATGTAGTAAGTTATTAATCGTTCAATGTCTCTTTAAAAAACTTTTACGTTAGACAACCGACTCACTGCATATAACAAAATATTAAAATATTAAAAATAACGTGCTAATTTTCTTTAAATCATCATTATTGTGTATGCGAAAAGCAATTTTACAAACTGTAAATGAATTCAAAATTAGCACAATTGTGCAATCACACACATACACACACACAATGAAAAGAGATATGATACCTGATGTGTGAACAAGTGACTGAAATGTCGATCAGTTAGCTTAAATGTGGAGATTTCTAAATTTAGTGAATATGTAATATCTAGCATCATACGTTCGAGTTGTACTTTCACAGGTCACAAAATCTGTCTGAAATACCAAAAGAATTTTCCTGCTTTCTGCTTTCTTTCTTATTTTAGTAGTACAAGTGGTTTATATACATGTACGTTAGTTTAATCTTTAATTAATGGCCAGCCATTTAGAACGCCTTGCCTTTCTGTATATATCAGAGGGAACTATTGATGACAGGTATTTTTTATTTGAGGGGTTATACAGTTTTAAAGGTCTGAAGTTAGAAAAATTATGACCTTTGCAGGATAAGTAGTCATGACAACTATGACTATGAGACTTTGTAAAACTCAGCGTTCTTTACTTAAATCAACTCACACACACACACACACACACACACGCTTTTTATAGTAAAAAAAAAAAAAAAATCCCACACCCCCTTTCTAATATCTCCAAAAAGCCACCGTTGGTACTAAAACGCAAAAGTTCAAAGCTTGTTGATATAATGTCGTAATTGTCGAATTATGGTCGTACATGTATACCGTCCATGTATATTGTCATGGTTAGTGATTTGGTTATTTTTACATCACAGTTTTAAGGTATATTAAAGTAATTTTCTTTGTGAGTTTTTTACCTTAAAATTAACTTATTATTCTTATTTACAATCGTATCTTAATGAAAACTTCATCAAACAGTGATTTACGTTACTCTGTCTACACATACCGTGACATACTCTGTGTACACATACCGTGACATTAACATATAATTAACACACATGATGTACACCAAATTAAGCTGTAAGAAAAAAACCCACACGCTCTTCCTTATATCCCAATTACGCCATTATTAGTGTTACTAAAAACGCAAAATGTCAAAACTGGTTTACAGAACCACAGAACTATGTTCATGCATGTATTTCGGTTTGTCCAATGGTTTCATTGAACAAAGCCGTTGTCATAATAGGGGTTGTACGTGGAGAATAAGCGTTGTCGTAATAGGTGCCGGGAATGAAGGCCACGCCATGTACGAGCAGGCACGCAAGACATAAAATGGTGATCAACAAAATACTTCGGCACGGGATGGTGAAGTGGTTTAATATGTATCTCTTGTTGAAGAGCATCACGTCCATCTCTGTCACTGAATTAATGAAAATAAAATACAAGGTAATACAAGAGTAATAAATGTAATGACACCTTCAGGAGCAAAAATATCGGCAGTTGATGTTAATGATAAAAGCTGTTTGGTAATTTTTTATGATTGTGATGCACCCTTTTGTAATTTGTCTGTTGTGATGTAATGATTCAATACCATATCTGTGCACCCAAAATTATCGTCAGACATTTTGCTCATAAATGTGTCAGCTTGAATTTACAGTCAGATATTAATGGAGCAAAACAGCATTTATAATATATTATATCAAAAATAGTGTTAGATATTTATGTAAATTTGAACGCGGAATCATAGCAATCTTTTATTGCGTACACACACACACACACACACACACACACACACACACAGAGAGAGAGAGAGAGAGAGAGAGAGAGAGAGAGAGAGATGAGTGGACAGGGGTAAAGGTGGAAGTTAAGTAGACATGTAGATGCTTACCGTGGCTATGCTGAAATATAGCTTGCAGCACATTAATTTGTTCTTGGCTCACTGCAACTCCGGAGAATACGATGTGGTTCGCTTGGCTTGCTGTGATATTAAAGAAGCCGTTCATGGCCCCGTTGATTGTTTCATTTGCATGTGTCTGTATGAAATAAAAAAGTCCCAAAATTGGTTAAATATAATTTTTCCATTCATTTTATTAAAAAATACCTTTT